TTTAAACCATCTGTAGATGCAGGTACGATCATTGCAGTATTGATCGTGCCTGCAATTAATAATTAATGCATTTAAATTATAACTAAAGTGCCAATCGTATATTTTTTTATCACGAATTTCAGGTGTAAAGTCTTTCCTGAACTTTAGAGCTGTAAAAGAGAGGGAAAGAAAGACATTTTTTACCAAAAAGCATCAGAACAAAACACAGAAGGGAAATAAAGTGAAGGTATGTCTTTAATTTAGTGCAAACACAAACTGGAAATTACATACTTCATCAAATAATTTAATTTGATTGATTAAATTTTGTCTCTCCCCCCAGATTAATGTTGGGCTTATGAGGATGCAGGGAGATTCCCTTAAGACAGTGAGAGGGAAGTTACTTCCAATTGAGATTCACCCTGAGTGGGCATCGGAACAAGTGCTTGCTGCTGCTGTAAAGAAGCAAAAGGATTTCAATATAGACCTGAGAGATTGTGCCCATGTCTTGTTGTATCCTGATGCAAGGGAGGTTAAGAACATCCCAGGAACAGACATTCCTTTCACAGTGCAAAAGTACAAGGAGGCAATTGGAAAGCCTTACCAAAGAATTACGCTTTACATTTGCCCTGTTGAGGATTTTGCAAAAAGCTGTAAGTGCTTTTGATCTACATCTACATACACTTCTAAAAGATAAATAGAAATCTGCTGCCAAGTGACACAGTTGGTGGCATTGTTGCCTTGCAGCAAGAAGGTGTTGGTTTCAATTCCTTGCCTGGAGTCTTTCTGTATGGAGTTTGCATATTCTCCCTGTGGGTTCTGACCAGGTGTTCTGGGAAAAGGGTATAATAAAATGAATGGATGGATGGATAAAGAAATCTGAATATACTGTGCTGCTAATTGTACAAAATTCTATTTGTACAACTGATACTAACATTTTCTTGTTGTTTAACATGTATATGAAGTTATGAAAAATTCCTATGCAACTAAACAATTTGTGGAATTACATAAAAATAATAATTAAAATTAAAGTCAAAATAATCATTGCTTTTCAAAGGTTTCAGTGGACAGAGTTCAAGTGATGATGACAGTGTGGTTCATGTAAGGTTGCCATCTCAAGATAGTCCACTCTCTGACACTGTGGTCAGTCTGCATCTTTATGACATTTCTCCTGAATTGAATTACTTACACTTTCTTTTGATAAGATAAAACCTGTCTTTTATATGTTCTACATAGGTGTGGGATGGTCCAGATGAAGCAAGCACTCCAACACTGGAGAAAATTTTGAATGGGTAAAATACAAATTACTGTTTGCTTCATATTTTGTTGCAGAAACTGTTATATCCACTTTATAACTATGTTAATTTTTATTTTCAGGCCTTCTGGACACACAGAACAAGGGTCTGATCAGGTAAGATTGAACTCAATCCCTTTCACAGTTCAATATGTAAACATTACATACCATAAAAGATTTTCAAAAATTCACAAAGACAATCACCCAAGATGAGATACATAACATTGTGTTAGCTAAGTCTGTATGGTATTGCCACTACCACAACTGGAGTACTAATTTATGTTAAATTAGGATGGCGGAAACACCAATGTCCAGGAGCATCCCATGTCCTCAGAGGGCCAGAACCCCTTCTATCGGTAGGTTGTGTGAGCACATGTCAACTTTTGCACATGTCAACACATTTACTGAAATTATTTATAGAAATTACACATAACATTTGGCATAAAGACTTACAAAAAATTCAATCACGGATAAATCCAAGAACTGTAACTAACTGAATTATTAATCTCAACTAAAATGTCTTCTTACATTTCCAAACTGAAAAAAGTCATTGAAAAAAAAAGTTTTGCACCTGTCCAGTTAAAACAGCAACTGGTACATTTGTGAGTGCATTTACTATCTCCACCCAACTGGCACACACATCACAGAGAACCAAGCGCACCTATCCCTTTCACTTAGGCCCATCTGAACTCTATAAGGTAACTTGTCACACCTGTGCTCACAATGATCTCTTCAGACAAAGAGCCTCAGCTTCAAGCTTCCACAAAGACACTCTGGTAGGAAATGGACATTATATCATTTAATCTGCATTCAGAGACCAAAATTAGCCCTTGATGCAATGGCTTTTATGTGTTTGGAATGTAGTTTATTTGTTTGTTCATTCACTGTTAACTTAAAAGTACATTGTTAACATTACTTGACACATATTTAATTAGTTCATTGTGATCTGTAATTGATTTTGTTTAATTTGTTTGTTGGTTTTCAACCTGCTCTGTGACTACTTATGTGAAGTCATGGTGGTCTTGCACTGTCAATTGAAATAATCTAAAGACAAAAATAAGAAATAACTAAAAATTATTGCTGAGATGAGTGGTTCCTGCTTTTCTTTGAGGGAAGCAAGCTGTTTCAAGTTTGGGCAGAAGCTGAGGTGGTTTAAAGAGCAAAAAACTTGACAGCACCATAACTTCTGGTTGTTCAATATTTTTTTTCTATCAAAACTTTGAGTAGTGTGCAAGAATTACCCAAATATGCTGGTGTTAGCTGTCCTACTGCCAAGAATGACTGACAGAAGTCTCTATGCCTTATCAGGGATGAATTTAAATTATTTACCTAGTAAAGTATTTACTCTATTTCCTTTTCAATACAGCAACTACACAAATTTGTACGCACCAATAATTGTTGACAGCGACTCTGAGCCGGATGAATATGTGATGCAGTTCCCTGAGCAAAGGTATTAATTGGAAATTAGTTTTCTTCTAAATCCTTTTGTGCTTTTTGTATTTTAAATAATTGTACACTTCATGTTTTTTAGTACAGACAACGTGACTGCTGCAGACATCATTTCAGAGCTCTCTGCAATGATCACGTCATCATCTCTCAGCCGCTTTAACATAAACAGAGCCAATGTATGGGATGGAGCACTGAGAGGTTTCAAGCGGGCTTCTTTCAACCCTTTCAATGACATATTTGTAAAATTCACCGATGACGAGGGACAGGCAGAAGACGGCGTTGATAACGGTGGTCCCAAGCGCGAGTTTCTAAGCCTTTTAATGAACTGCTTAAGGACTCGAAGAGTCTTTGATGGGCCAGAAGAAAGGAAATTTATCACTTTTGACAGTGAAGGTATTGCTGTTAAGGGCAATATTTCAGAGTTTTCTCATAAGAATGCGACAGCTGTTGGTGAATGTGTAATTAATGTGGTCAAAATCTATACAGCAGCCAAAAATGATGAATATTTCCTGGTTGGGAGGATGATTGCCACTTCTGTCGTTCATGGAGGTCCAGGTCCTCAATTCTTATCTGAGAAGCTCTACCAGCACCTCACAGGAACATCAACAAATACAGAAGGAAAGATAGAAGACATTACCGACAACACCATGAGGGCTTCTTTGATTGAGGTAGGATAGCATTATTGATGAGGCTTAACAAGTTGTTACAATCAAGCAAAAATTGTGTTATTCCATAACTTCATGTAACATTAAGATCATTTGTATTTTGTGTTTGATACGATTCTATTGTGCAGAATAAATCTGATATTTTCTAAAAGGCACATGTTGTCATATTAACGCACAAACAAGTACCTACGCTACCTTCACTTATGAGAATGCTATATGCATAAAAAAGACAAGCCACTTTATTAGGTACATCTCGTTAGTACCGGTTTGTACACCCATTTGCCTTCTGAACTGCTTTAATCCGTAGTGGCATGGAGTCAACTAAATACTGGAAACATTCCTTAGATAGTCTGGTCCATCTTTACATGATGGCATCACATAGTTGCTGTAGATTTGTTGGCAGTACATCCATGATGCAAATCTCTCCTTCCACCACATCCCAAAGGTTGATTTAAATCCCAAAGGATGATTTCATAAATATTAATTTATGTTTTTGGTTATTGTTCTCTACCATAGATATCCAGTGCAGGTACATTGACTGAACTACACCAGTCAGTTGAAAGACATGCAAGCATCTTGCAAACTGCTGGTTGCTTGCAGTTCCCTGTGACTGTTGATGACAAATTGAAAATTGTAAAGGAGTTCATTGATTGGTACATCATTTACCGCAACCATTTCTCTATTCAAAGGTAATGTTTCTCTTCCTTAACTTAAAAAATAGCTATGCTAATTTAGTTACTATTTTGTTGCATTTAATACAAGCAAATGTACAATAGTGCAAAAATCAATCAACAGCACCCAGCAGCCAAATAAGTAGGAGCCTTATTGATTGGACGGCTTAACTGGAGAAAATTAACGTTTCTGTAGGTTAATTCACTGTGTACAGTGCATCAGCAATATTACCTATGCTAAATAAAAATAATAAAAATAAGATTAGACATATTAATGTTCTTTGTGTTACTGAAAAATATCAGCTCTTTTGATAATAATTAAGGTGATTTCTGTTTCAAACTTTTTATAGATTCAAGGATGGACTTTCAACACTGAACTTCCAGAATGCTTTGGAGCAGCATGCTTTCGTCTTCAGGCCATTTATGTGTGCAAGAGTGGAACAGCTGACATCCAAAATATTGGAGGAAATATTTGAGGTTCAGCTCAGTGAAAAGGGTAGCAGCAGACGACATGAGGAAACAAGAGTGCTAGGATTCTGGAGAGACTTTCTCCTTGACACGGAAGGTGGACTTTTAAGATTTATAGCTATATTCTGGTGTTATTGTAATATCTGATACATAAACTCATTGCTTCTTTTCTAGAACAAAAAACGGGCCTCTCTCTCCAGGACATCCTGATGTTTGCCACCGGCTTGAACACACTACCTCCATCTTCAATTCTGCCACCACCAAAACTGATCTTTCAGGCCACTTCTCGTTTTCCTGTCAGTAGCACCTGCTCCAACACTATCAAAATACCAATGTCCAAGACGTATCATCAGTTTAAAGAAGACATGGACTTTGGGATTCAAAACTCCCCTGGGTTTGGGCTTTATTAAGGTCAAATGCATAACAACAAATCAAAATGCTAACTATTTAACTTGTCAAACCTGTTCAGTTATGACACTGTTTAGTGTTTGTGTGCGACCTTCAAATTTGGATTCTTGTTTGTTTATAAGTCCGCCATGTTTTTCAGTTTGATATAGTTTTCGACACATGATTCCCAACTCTGTGGATGTGCTAGGCCACACTGTCTCTGGAGGTTCTCAAAATGTGCCTGAAGGTGTTCATCTCCACATTGAATGTTGTTAGTCTCTGTCCCAAACTGTCCCAATTGCTCCTGGGAGACTGGGAAACCACAGTCTGTTCCACCAAACCTAGGAATAGAAGAGGCACAGTAAACATTTAGTTATATTTACATTTCTTCACTAAACTGTTACTGCTGTGACTATTGTTGTAACCTGTCTAAATGATTAATTTTATTTAAATTTACATTTTAGAAATTGTCATCTGAAATTGTTAGAATAAAAAGTGACATACTGTTAACACATTGTTCATTATTTTTGTTTTGGCAAATTATTTTTTAGAGTTCCCAAAGAGGTTTGAAATTAACCAGATGTTGAAGACAAAAACAACAAAAATTACCTGTGAGGTAGATGATACATCACATCTGGTTTACCAGATGGACAGCGAGATTGTTTAACAGGTCTTATGGTATGTTTATTCCACCTGTCCTTGCATTCATCAAGATCTCTTTGTAGCATATCCATGAAGACAAACCGCACAAGGCATGTGTGCTCATGACTTCCATTGAAGAGATGTCTTTCCTTCAAATCGTTCATGAGATCCATCCAGAACTGAGATCTACAATAAACCAAAATTATAAGATAATTATATCAGCAGAAAGTAATAGGACTAGTTTCTATGTCATGAAAATATTTAAATATATGTTGACCTACAAAGTTAAATATAATGTAAGCAGACATCAACTGTTATACTTTAAATGTTGAGCTTCTGATTCATCCATTTCAAATGTTACACTATAAAATATAGTTGTATATAGCACAAAAACTTCATGGTCATTAAGAGATATGCAAGTACTTCATTTCTTCTGACAAAGTAGAGGTAATTGAGTAAAATGTTGCATCAAAATTTTGAAATGTTTATCCAAGAAGACTACTAAATTTATTCACCTTTTGGAGGTCTACTACTTGGTATTTATACAAAAATTACAATAAACTGTTGACAAACTCACCTTTGTTTTCTGAAATATGACCACCAGCTTTCGATGCGTTGGTTGGCTGTTGAGGAGCCATACATATGGCTGGCAGCCCCAGCAAAATCATCAGTGTGTGATGACCTTAATGTACAATGCATTGCCACCATTGTTCCATTTTCAGTGCCACAGTCTGTGCGGAGGCGCATTGGTATCTTCCCAAATTCTGAGACACATTGCACATAGTTTTGAGCAATGACTCTAGGATCATTATTGGTGGCTTGACACACTAACCATAGCACCTTCCGAGAATACCCATCTATGCAGCCACTTATTGCCAAGCCATAGGGCTTCAGTTTGTCATAACCATCTGCATGCCAGACATAGTTTGGGCCACAAGAACTATAAACTCTTCTTATAAATCTTCGTCTTGCACGCAGTTGTACTCCTGAGGGGTCAAGTTCTGCCATCAATGCCATGACATCGTCTCTTCTGACAGTCAGACAATACTTCTGTCGGAGTGTCTGCCACATCAAGCGATAGCCATAATGCTGGCCTGGTCCCTTTAGCTCTTCTTCAATAGCAGCACGTACCAAGTGAGGCGGTGTGTAACTTCTTTGTCTAAAGAGTGATAATTTTTTTAATTTGCTCTTTAAGGAACGAAGGCTCATTTCAACATTGTGAAGGTTTCCCAAGAAATCCAAAATTTCTGAATGACTATAGCCATCATAAAAATACTTTCTAATCAGGTCATCTTCTGAGAGGGTGTCCAGCTCAGATCCTGTGAAACAAAATAGAGCAGAATATCTTTTTACTGCCCAACACCAGGGACATTAAGTTGGCACAGTAAAAATGTTACGCAATTCAAACAATGAAGTTCACACCAAAATAGAATCTGTGTAAAAACTGAGTAACATACAGTACAGTAAGGGCAAAAGTTCTGTGCTGTTATTAAAAGTAGCATATAAATAGTCTACTCTACAAAACTATGTGCAGTTGGGCATGATAATTTTAAAATATATATATTTTTAAATAGAATAAAACCATATTTATTGAGATAAACAGCTGGGATATATATCTAAAAAAAGTGTGGCTTGTTAAACCAAAAGTACTTCATGAATATGTGCGACGTGGGACCACTGTTTTCAGTAACGAGTAATCAAACGTGTTGCTAATTCAAATCCAGTAGACCATATTAAAGTTACTTATCCAAATCACTGTGCGTTGCCATTTTCTTTTGTAATTTAATTTAATCCCTATGTACGTCTTGGGGAGCGACCGCCGTTTACATGTCACAGTTATCTGCGGCGACAGAAACATAAACAATACGGGGAGGAGGGAGATGCGTATGTTGTTGCTGGGAAAACAGGAACTATTTTGATAATCTGTCCTCAAAGTCCGATTATTATAAGCGGCTTTGGGCTTCTTTTTTTTTTAAATCGCTTTCAAATTTCATGAATCACGGGTTTAAGTTTTTGGGCTTGATTTTGATCCTGAAGTTCTTATTTTGACTTGGAAATAAGCAGAAACATATAAACCCCGTAATTTGTCTGACATCCGTAGGAGGGGGCTCTACAATCTTATTTATAGTTATCCAGACAATAGTGGAAATCACAAAAACATACACAAAATACTAAGGTTTTTGTGTGTGTGTGTGTGTGTCTGTGTGTGGGCGTGTGTGTGAGTGTGTGTGTGCGTGCTGTTGTAACCATTAATCTCCCGTTCAGTTCAACCTTATAAGCGGAGATACATACTTGATATTACTATAAATAAATAACTTGCAATTAATTACTTGCAACGTTCAAGCTTTTCACAAGTGGTGGAGAAAAATAAAAAAATATGTAACTTAGAGAATTTCCAAAAAAGTAATCACTAATCTACTTTTTCAGGTAGAAATAAGTAATCGATTAAAGTTAATTTGTACAAGTAACTAACCCATCACTGCTTACCAGTGTCTTGAGCTTGTGCCAAGATCTGCACATTCTTCCCACATGAAAAACAGAAAACTTGAATTGTTCCTAGATTTTGTCCACAGAAACAGCAAAACATGGCCACCTAAAAAAAGGTAAATGGTATGCACATAGGTATAGTTGAAACCATATATGTACATACACCACAAAAAAAAAAAAGTTACAAACATCTCTATCCCTCTTGTGACAGATAGGTGATAAATCGAATTCACTATCTATCTATCTATCTATCTATCTATCTATCTATCTATCTATCTATCTATCTATCTATCTATCTATCTATCTATCTATCTATACGAGTGTGTAATTTATCTATTTTTTCTTGCGGTATGATTAGCATAATTGCTTTGCTAATTCGGGCAAGCATCTACGAGACCGAGCCCAGAACGGTATGACTGAAGTCTATCACGCTACCCATAAATTATTCTGTTATTCTATAATATTATAAAAGAGGGCGTATCTGAAAAGAAATATAGTAATACTTACCTTTACTTTCTTTCAAATTTATTTCTCTGAATCTTGCATCTGGTCCCATAGGAATGAATACTATTTTCTTTGACTCCCCCTAGTGGTCTGTAGCACTTCCGTTTTCAACACTTTTTGTTTGCTGCATTTCATTCGGGGGCGTTTTCTTTTTTGTTTGCATCTCTCTTTTTGTTTGCAGCATTTC